TTTGTTTTTATTTATTTATTTTTGCATTCAGGTCCACTTGAAATGGTTGTTCCAAAGACAGTCAAAGTTTAGTTTTCCATAACTATTTTCACTCTCTTTGTCTCTTTGACACATGAGGCTGTTTTTTAGAACAGAGATGTCCAATCTTGCTCCTGGAAAGCCACCTTCCTGTAGAGTTTAGCTCCAATCCCAAACACACCTAAGCAGTGTGTCGGAGCAGGGCTGGACCTGAAGTCTGTGGATTGGTAGCTTTGCGGGAGCAGGGTTGGAGATGCCTGCTCTGCTGGAATGTAGTCACTCCTAATTTAGAAACTCCCAGTGAATTCATGTGCAATGTGTTGGTCCTTCCAGAAGAGGGCAGCACAAGACAGAAGAGCCACAAGCCAAGTGCTATAATGCATTTTTCCCATTACCACTAAACAAACGCTAATCTATCTTGTATGATGTCTTTGCTTAATTTTCACAAATATTGAAAAACATAGTTTAAAACAGAACACACTGAATTTCCTGAAATTGTTCAGAAGATTGATTAACTGCATTATTTATTTATTTAGTATTATAAAAATAATTATTCATAATTGTTTAACATTTTTAAAAATAATAATAATAGTAATAGTAATAATAATAATTATTATTATTATTATTGAATGAAAAGATGAACTGGTCAAATCAAATGATTATAACAAGAGCAATAATTAAAATTCATTCATTTAATAATAATAATAAGAAGAAGAATTACAAATAATGATTACAAACAATGATCAGTAATATGTAATGATTAGTACAAAAAAGTAATTGTAATACAATAACTATTATTATTTATGTTATATAAATATTTATTATTATATAATTATTAATTAAATTAATAAGTAATATTATATTAATTAATTAATAACAATAATTATTATTATATAAATAATAAATATTATTATAATAATTATTATTATTACTATTGAATGAATAAATGATAATTGTTCTAACTTAAAATTATTTGATTTAATTGATTCACCTATACATTTAATGATGATAATAATAGTTAATATTATTATTACTATTAAATATTATTATGATAATTATTATTATTACTATTGAATGACTAAATGATAATTGATCTTGTTAAAATGATTTGATTTAATTGATTCATCTATTCATTCATTCAATGATAATAATAGTCAATATTATTATTACAATTATTATATAACAATAGTTATTTATATAATAATAGTAAAAATTTTTATTATATAATAATAGTAATAATTTATATAATAGTTGTTATTATTATTAATATTATTACTATTATTATATAAAATAATAACAGTAGTAATAATAATAGTACCTATTATTATTAATGAATGAATGAATAAATTAATCAATAAAATCAAATCATTATAACAGCAAGAACAATTATCATTATTATTATTATTTTTATTAATATTCCACCCTTTAAATCTACTTACCTGTACAATATTAGTCAAGCTTTAGTATTTTACAACAAGATTTCAAACAAATATTTTTTTGAAGCTATTCAGGCACATAGATGTGGATGTGAGGATTTTAATTTATTTCATTGCACATCTCAAGGCCTCATGCTCTGATAAAATGGCCAGCGTAGGCTGATTGTCCCATGGGAGCTCATAATGGCCTCTCCTCAGGGAGTGCTGGGAACAGACTGATGACCTGCCATCTGCCGCATCATTCCCTGTTTTCCTCTTTTCTTTCATTCTCTTAAACACATATTATCTGTGTGTGTGTGTGTGTGTGTTTGCAAAAGATTATCCTCCCAGGGCTTCTCATTCATCACGGTCACAGTGAGAGAGCTAGAAAAGAAAAGTAGGGAGGGACTAGTGCCTATTTGAGTTTCACTGCCTTCAGCCTTTGATTAGCGGCCGCCCTTTTCACAGCAGTGAAATGCTGCTTATCTACAGTTATACTGATCTCTCCTCCTAGCTGAGTCTGCTTTATGAGCTATTGACCGTTCTGCAAGCAAAAGGCGTATTTTTCCAATGACCATTCAAACAAATCAGCGTGTTCTGACTAAATGAAATTCTTGGCAAGAAGCATGTAAATAGCAAGCATTTTATTATATTATGCTGCTTTAGATGTTGCAGAATTCAGAATACATACATTAAATGGGAATGCTAACGGATAGCTTTTCTACAGGTACCACAGGCTTGGCTGAACTCTAAAGAGCCTTCTGACAATCACGAATGATGACAGTAAGAGAGAGAGAGACAGACTAGTAGTGTCTGTGTGTGTAGCATTCTCCCTCTAGCACTGATCTGCTACTACTGTGTTTAGCCTTGGGTTAACATGATGAATGCACATCATAATTTAATTGATTGAGCATAGAGCTTACCAATCCATCATATCTCAACAGCAGATAATATATTTATACTGAGTGATGTAGTCTACTGGTTAAAGATCAAAGCTGCAAATTGAAAGGTTGCAGGTTTGAACCCGGTAAGAAGCGAACCATGAACTTTTTACATTATACCACTGAGACCTAATTTGTAACTCATGTAGCAGTCTTGTTTAAACATAATGGAAACATTTCTTCTTTATGTTGTGCCTAACAGCACCTAGTACCTGCGGTAAAATCATTTTACAATATATCATGCTTTACAATATAATACGTTATTTTAAGATACGGTAATGCAAAATTGTGGTTGCAATGTTCTTGGTTTGTTAATGTTATAGTCATACTAATTCATATAAATATAAAAGTAAATACATTTTTTAATAAAATTGAATATTTGAAAAGCGTTATAAAATTTGTAAAAAAAAAAATACAAATAATTGTATTTTTATTTATAATAAATATCCATTTAAAAGTTTAAGGTACAGTAAGTTTTTTTTTTTTTTCCTTTTTTTTTTTTAAAAAGATAATACTTTTATTCAGCATTAAATTTACTGAGAGTAACATAAAAGACATAATGCCAGAAAACCTTTCTATTTCAAATAGATGCTGTTCCTTTCAACTTTCTATTACTGAAAAATTATCAAAAAAGCAGCATAAATGCAACAAGTAATTGAAAATACAACACAAGTCATTTAAATATAATATTATTTGAACATATAGTTAAATGAAATAATAATAATAATAATTTCAATAAAATGCAATAACGTAATATTTAAATAAGGTGTAATTAAAAAAAATAATCTTATTAAATATGTTATGTCAAGAATGGTCATGGAAAACCGGGAAATATCATGGAATTAAACAGCTTTGTTTTGTTGTTGTTTTTATTAAAATTTTGTTTTTTATAATCCTGGACACTTAAATACATTGTCATTCACATCCTCATCCTCATAACACAGTATGAGTAATAAACTTTACACTTTACACTAGCAAACAAGGGCCATTTCATTGCCATCCTCACTATTTATCATTCAGACATTCAGCTTTTGTACTAGATTTCTCTAGTTATTGAGTAGTGATACGGTCCATCCTTCTGGTCCCTCTGGGGCCCTCTGTGTGGTAGACTCAGGCCCTGCTCCAGTAGAGATAAGAAACCAACTGCCCTTGTTCATTAATGAACCATCTCTTTTCTTCAGTGCTGCCACTGTCTTATTCTCTCTGTTTGTGAACTTCTAATTCATTGATCCTACTCTAAGCTTGAATGTTTTCCTAATTACACTTTCATGAGCCCAGAGGGAGCTGTTCGGATGTAACAAATGCTTTCTTTAAAAATCTCTTTCTCTCAAAGGACTGAAGTTGTTAGTGTCAATTCTTAGTGGAGTATTAAAAGGGGAATATAATAGAAAGAAATCCTGGTTGAATGATAGGCTGGATATTGTCCAACTAAAAAAATGCAGTATGACCTTTCAAACGCTATTCTTTCTCTCGCTGCTCTTTGTATTCCCATTGTGTTCTCCTGATATTACCACAGAAATTGCTTCTCACACTCCACCAGTTTAACATCTCCACACTGGCCCTGGGATGGGCTCAGAAACCGTTTCCTGTTGACAGGCTGTTTGTGGTTCTTGCTGGACTCGCTCTCCTGATGTCTTTGGTCAGTGACCCGGCAATGAGCTCTGGTCAAGAACTCTTTCCACCCTCAGGGAACTAACCTTCATTACTGAGCGTATGGTCCTTCTCACCGACCTCAGACCTGCTCTTTGACTTTTATAGCATGTGTGTGGTGCAGAGAGTGTGTTAGAGAGACATTGTGCATATAAATTACCATCTTTTTTTTTGTTTGTTTGTTTGTTTTTTTTGTTTCATTTTTGGGTTTTATTGTCTTTTTTTAGTTTTTGTTATCTTTTTAATGTGCTTTTATTGTTGTTTTACTTGATTTTTTTAAATTTAGCTTTTTAAATATTTTTACTTGCTTTTTATTTGTATTTATTTTAGTTTTTGTTGTTTTATTTAATTTTGTTTTATTGGTATTAGTTTTTTGTTTATGTATTTTTTTATTGTCTTTATTTAGTTTTTATTTAGGTTTTTATTTATTTTGTTAATATTTGTAAATGTAAAGGAATGTGTTTTTATTTTTGTTTATTTTTATTGTTTTTAACTTTTTGTTTATTTTACTTTTGTTTTTATTTTGCTTTTATTTGATCTTTTTGTTAATATTTAATAATATTTTTTGTTTCGTTGTCTTTTAATTTAGTTTTGCATTGCTTTTTTAGTTTTTGTTGTTTTATTTTATGTTGTTTAATTGTAATTAGTTTTTTGCTTATGTAGTTTTTGTTTTTTGTGTTGCATTTTATTTAGTTTTTATGGTTTTTGTTTAGACTTATTCATATTTTGTTAATATTTAGTGTGCATATAAATGTTAAGAAACATTTTTATTTTTGTTTATTTTTTTTTTATTTTTTTTAGCTTTTTGATTGTTTGCTTTCCTTTTTTATTTTTAGTTTTTATTTTGCTTTTATTTGATCTTTGTTTGTTTTCAATATTTATTTATTGTTTAGTTGTCTTTAATTTAGTTTTTTTTATTGCTTTTTTGTTGTCTTACTGTTTAATTTTTTCTTTAGGTTTTTGTTGATTTATATTTTCTTCTAATTTCATGCAAATCGCTGTATTATATGCAGCACACGTGCATTCATTTGAACATTTTCTTACTGTAGATTGATTATTGGTTTGTTTATTGATTGAAAAGGACCCATAGTAGCAATTATAGGACACGTTTCAAAAGGCTAGTGATAAAACAGTTAACCACATTCCCATTATGTTCTCGGGTCTGGAGGTTTTATGGTAGATAATTATAAATAGGCTTTCTCTGAAGTGAAAGGGTGTCCCGTAAAAAGGTGACGAGAGAGATGCAGACTCCTCCCTTCTCAACGGAGATAATTTACTGGCTTGTTTTCATCAGACAAGGATCTATAATTGAAATGACAAAAAAGATGCATCGCTACACAGTTGTTAGTGTTTGAGGCTATGAATTTCAGCCGAATACCTGACACCCGTTTCCTCCGGGCCTGTCAATCAAAAAGACCTTAGTCAGCCCAGAGAAAGGGCCCCTGGTCAGGGCTGTCTGCCACGCTGCCAGAATGAGTGGATCAAAGGTGCGATGCTTTATCGATCTGATCGACCCATCACCGCTGTGTATGGCTCCGACCTAAAGCCGCGTGGCTATATATCACTTTTGCACACTCATACACACACAGTGTCTGTCCACAGTCTCTCACACTTTCATACACGTGACTCTATTCACCACCTCTAGCACTTCACTTTTGTTTTCTATTGTTGGTGTATTGAGAATATGAATCCCTGTTTAAAGCACGACCACTACAGCCATACAGATATACATAGACATCTGATTCAAACTTCCAGATTTTGCAGTGTTTATAGTACTGTTTGTGTTAAATTGGTTTTAATTAGGGAAATCTGTTAGTTCTAATCTATTCAGTAATGTGCTGTTACTCATTTTGCATGTGAAGCATTTTGCACGTACATAAAAAAAAAGTCTTACCATTTAATTCTAATGGTCCAAGAGAGAGAGTGGAAAATGGTCATAAGCTAAATCATGACTCTGTTTGATGCATAATAATAATAATAATAAAACTCAGGTATTAGATAGAATGAACTGTGTATGACCCCTTTAAATGATGACATTAAGCTAAACCGCTGCTTATTTACACTTTACTTTATTTCAAATAAGCACATGTCATTTGATCCTTGTTCCTTTGATTGTTTTTCTTGATAAATGCAGTCATGTGTTGACTAGTAATTCTCCTATGTATAAGTGCACAGAATTGAACACATTTATGTGTTTTCCAATAGGAGAAACCAGCCAAGCACCGTTGATATGCCGGGTAGGTCAATATCCACTCTGCTAGCATGCCTCGTATTCTCACAGATAAGACCTCAGTCTTTGTTTCAATAAATGACATATTACACTTTCACTGCATTAGACCTAAAGCATCTGATTTGAATTGCAAGAGATCATTGCAATGTTTGCTTGAATCTGACGTGTAATTTTCACTGTAGCTCAATTTCACAGTTGAGGTGACTTTTCACTAAAACTGTTCTCAGTATGGCTCCTCTGGGCTGTTTTATGGGCTGTCTACATAACATTTTCACACATCCGAGAGATGATCTTTTGGAAATTAGCTGTCATGGTAGAAGGGGCTCCTCAAACTAAATGTGAAGCACAGAGAGGAGGATTAATGCAGACTTTCTTTGGATAATAGCTATTGACTATTGAGCAAATGTTAAATTGTGATTGTCATGAAAACCTTTATTATTAATTATTTATTAATATTAATTACTTACTATAAATAGTGCATATAGATTGAAAGATTATATAAATATATAATCTCTTTATACAATTAAAAAAAATTTGTAATATAGCCTAATTCTTTATCTTTACAGATGGATGACGTATTCTAGTGAGTTTTATTGTGATGTGTTTTTGCAGGTGAAGAAGGTTCTGACTTTGAAGATGGGCTCCAACCAGGCGGATCATAAAGGTCAAAGTGGTCTGTGCTTTGCTATGGATTGGCTCCATGTCAAACCACATAACCTCTTGGCTGCTGGCTTCTATGATGGTGATTTCATATGTTTTGTCTATAGGCCTCTATGTTCTTCTAAACAGAATTGCTAATTGTAAATACCTTGGTTTATATGCATATTGCAATCACTGCACTTTTTCTTTTCCAGGTCTGGTTGGTTTATGGGATCTTGCTAGTAAGTCTACACTACTGAAAGTCAAGTCTCCAGACGGAGGTGTGTATCTCTACCCTTACCACTGTTTCCATGCTCATGACGAAAACATCCGGACCTTGTGCTGGTGCAAAGCCTCAAGGTGAGAACCATCAGTCCTAGCATCATGTGTCGGATTAGACAAGACTACAATTTTTTTTATTTTTTTTTTTATTGGGTTTAAAGATTTCTATTTTAAATATATGATCTTCTTTTGAACTTTCTGTTTATGAGAGAAATCTGGAACAAAGTAGCATAGTTTTCAGAAAAATACTGAGCAGAATAACTGCTTTCAACCTTAATGATAAGAAGAAATGTTCTTCAGCACCAAATCAGCATATTAGAGTGATTTCTGAAGGATCATGTGGCACTAAAGACTGAAGTAATGCTGAAAACTCAGCTTTGTTGTCACAGGAATAAATTATATATTCAAATGTATTCAAATAGAAAGCAGATTTTGATAATAATATTTCACAATATTACTGTTTTTAGCAAAAACAATGAAGCCCTGATGAGCATGCGAGACCTATTTCAAAAACATTAAAAAATCGTAGTTATTTGGAACTTTTAAACAGAAGTGTGCATTTGTTTAAAAAGGAGATTCTTGATCTTAACTGAATATAAACTGAAAATATTTCATGCAAACACCTTTTGTTATTACTGATATGTTTGATTGTAGTGTTCAGTATCATTCATTTCATTTGGTATTCGTAGTGTATTTAAATCTTTATGTATGACATTATCTGTATGATATTCATGCTATGATACAGCACATCCTTGGAGTTTTCTCATTTAGTAACAGAGAAGCAGTCTAGATCAAATACATTACCATTCCAATCATGTGTTGTTTCAGCATCAGTAGTTTCAGCAGCCTGCTCTTAGCACTTACATTTAAAGCACTGTGACCTTATAAGAGACTCTTGTAAGTGGCATTAGAGAAGTTCATTTGGAAAATGACACCCTATCCCACTCACCACAGGGGGCTAGTAAAATCAAGTGGAGATTTCTTGTGTTTGGAACATTTTGTTCTTGTTCTTTAGACTCAAAATGTAAGATGTAAAATGTAGAATTCAGATATACCTCAACCTCAGAAAAAGCAGAACAGTCTCTGTGTGTTATTGCTCTGAAGGGTTGCAGTTTGTACGCAGCTACGCATGCAGCAAACTTCAAGCATTCAAGCAAGAGGGTTGGCAGGGGGATCAGCTGTCTCTTCTGCCCTTTTACTGTCCAGATGTGAAGAGGAGAAGTACAGACACTGAATTGACATGATTTCCTCCCAGATTGCATCATATACTAATTTTAACGGCAGGACACTAGCTCACAGCAGCCTTGGTCCCTCTCTTTTTTGGGGGTGGGGGGGGATGGTGTGGCGTAGTGGTGACAAGAAGCTTGCTAGTTTGATCTCTGCATGTTGCAAGCACTTAACTGCAACTCAGCTCAAAGCAGTGTTAAATGTTTAAAAAAACATAGAGACAACATCAAGGGAGACAACATCCATTTTCATAATTGCACAAACATTATGGGAATGTAATTTTTGAATGTTCTCTAAAATATTGATTTATCTGCAATTGTGCTGAGGTATGAAAAAAGCATGAATAACAGTATATAATGTTTTTATCTGCTATTGTTGTGTGCTGTTGTTGGCAGTAACTTGTTGGTGACAGTCGGAGATGACCGCATGGCAAAAATGTGGGATGTGAGAAAAACCTACGTGCCTCTTTTGGCAGTAAAGCGCTGCTTGTCCACTGAAGTGTACTGGCCCCTCTTTTGGAGCGGCATCCTGATGGCTCAAGAGTGTTGCTTTGCCACGTTAGTCTATATGATATTTTGAAGTTTTAAGTCAGTCAACTTATTTATATTTTTATTAAATAATCGTTTGCCTTTGCACTGTGTAGGTTTGGACAACATGGGGTTCACTATTTTGATTCAGGTTACCTTGGAATCAAGCCTTACTTTGTGTGTCCTAGAAAAGCCACTATTTGGGTATGTAGACATTTCACAACGTCTCTACATGGTTTAGTACTGACAATATGGTTTAATAATGACAAAACGTTTTTCAGAGCCTTTCTATGTCTGATTGGATAAATACTTTTGCCGTTGTGGACAATGGAGGAGATTGTTTATTTAGTTCGCTTCCTGAAATGGACATCGACCCCAACACTATCAGACGACGGAGATATGTATGTTTCTTTATCACTTTATCTGAATTCCCACATATGGAAACCTTGCATTAACATTGACTATTTTGCTCAACCCACATAGTCAGTGTACAGGACTGACATGGTCCAGTTTCAACCTGGTCAGAGGCCTGGAGATAAGGAACAGGAGGAGGAGGAAGTGGAAAATGCTGCAAGTAATCCTAGGAAGGAGCCACTGAGTTACAAAGGAGTAATCAGAAAGTACTATCTCCACTTTCATGACTTGGACCTGGTGAGAAACTCAAAAAGATGTCTTTTAAATGACTTTTGTGCAGTCATTGTTTAATTCTATTGTTGAGCAGTTTTCTTCATGACAAGGTCTCCATGCTTGGGAAATGATGTAGGAAATCAGATTTTGAGAGTATTGATCTTTTGTTGCCACATAATCACCTTTCTTTAATTTTTACCAGAGCTCTGCACAAAATAGTTTTTTAAAAAACAGTAATGTGGTGCACTGCAAACCTTATCAGGCAGGCTCATGAATATTAATTATATAATGCATTTGGCAGACACACTTTTATCCAAAGCAATGTACACTGCATTCAAGGCACATGTTTACATTTTGTCAGTTCTTGTTTTCCCTGGGAATCAAACCCATGCTATTGCCATGCCCTAAAGTTTGAGCTACTGATTTGCTGAAAAGCGGGCTGGCGCTAGCCATATTAGGTCTACTTGGAGGTGCCGTTTTATGTGACTTTCATCCAAAATTTTAAATTCTGTCATCGTTTACTCACCCTCATGCCATTCCAAACCCATAGCCTTTGGTTAATCATCAAACCACAAATTTAGAGATTTTTAATTAAACCTGTGTGGTTTCTGTTTGTCCATTGAAATACCAGATCTTAAAAGAATCCAAAACGTTCATAAAGGCTTGTAAAAAGAATCTGTATGAAGCGTGCCATGTAATCCAAGTCTTCTGAAAAGATATGATTGCTTTATATGATTTTAGCTTTTAACACACAAACACATATACATCTCATATTGGATACAGAAGAAACAATGAGATTTGTAAACACAAACTTCTGTGTTTACAATATGTGCATGTATTTGTGCCAATCATTATTTAGATGTAAATGAAATCCTAAAATAAATCAGTTCATCATATAAAGTGATTGTATCTCTTCACAAGACTTGGATTAAACCATCTGATTCATATATATTATAGTTTTATGACACTTTTATTACCTTTTTTGATCTTTTTGGGGGTATTTTAGTTTTATTTACTTAGACTTTCAATGGAGGGACAGAAACCTCTCAGGTGTCATTAAAAATATTAAAATTTGTGTTAACCAAAGGGTTGGAATGACATGAGGGTAAGTACATCATGACAGAATATTCATTTTTGGTTGAACTATCCCTTTAATACTCGACAACAATGGGTGTAAATTGCTGGAAGTGGGAGGGACATGTCCACCCCAGTTATAATAGTTGATATGCCCTTGATTTTCTGTATGTTTTTCTGTGTACAACATTGACTTGTATGTATGTGTTTGCAAGACCATGTAAAAATCCATTAGTGGCCTCATTAATGTGTGAATATGATAGCGGTAGTGTGTGTATAAGCTGTGTGTGATACCGACTGTGTACTGCAGCCTATTCCACAGATCATTACACGCGGACTGTGCAGGTGCTGTGGCCGGATTAGATTTATTGGCTTTGTTATTTTCCCAGCACACCTGAGCGAGTGGAGGAGAGTCTGCATGTTAGCGTAGTGGCACCCCTCTCTCTCATATCCCTATGAGACTCATCGTGCATCATATGTGTTATATGTTGATTAAGTTCTGCACCCTTCATTAATTTAAAGTCATGCCCGCCTGGAGGCCTACCCCCTATCACAGAGATGCTCCATCTATTCTGCCGTCTCACGCTCCAGCGCTCCACCCCCATCCGTCCGTCCATCCACGGCACACTGCACATGTCCACTTTGAGGCCACGGTCTGGAACAGGCCAGGGCTGCGTTTCCCAAAAGCGTTGTGGACTAAGTTGATCATAGAAACCATTGGTGCCGTTGGTTCTACGATCTTCTTAGGCTTATGATGCTTTTGGGAAACTCAGTCCAGAGCTGTTTGAATTGGGCTAATTGAACTGTCCTCAGTCATCCCTGCACACACACACACACACATTCAGCCAGCAAAAGAACAATGGTCTGAATGATACCACTGGACTGTGACCAGTGACCACTGTTGGATTAACTGCAGTAGTTGGTTCTTTTTCAATTCATTCATAGTAGAGCAGAACACTATCAATGCCAAGGGTATGGTAACATTCACTGATAAACATACAAACAATCACTAATGTATTAAGAGCCGGAAAAACTTGACGTGAAAAACGTGAAAACTTTCTGAATTTGGAGATTGTGGAAAATTGTACTTATTTTGTCTTCTGGAAACATGTAGGGATCTTTTGTAGCTTCTGAAGGGCAGTACTAAATGGAAAAAAAATATGATACTTAAAATAAGAAAAATGTACACATCTTCATCCTTTTCAAAAGTTTTCACCTCCATAATGCATTGTTTCCTTCTGGGGCCTCAACCATCACAAAACATCTAAGTAATGATACACAGTATTAAGAATTAAGCTTAAGACTTGTGGATTACATATAGACATCTTTTATGTGAAATATCTTATTCACAGGACAGTACTAAATATGGTACTTATGGTATGCTATTTTATATATATAATTTTATTTTTCATAATAATTTAATATTGCACAGATGTTCATTTACATCTATTGTACATGTACATTACAACAAATCTTAACATTTTCCATACTGATAAAATGGTAAAAAATGTTAAATTTTTAAATATTGTGAGTTTTTTTTTTGCGTTTTATTTTTTTTTTATTTACACAGAATATTGTTCATTTACATCTATTTTACATGTACATTACAACAAATCTTAACATTTTCCATACTGATAAAATGGTTAAAAATGTTAAATTTTTAAATATTGTGTTTTTTTTTTTTGCGTTTTATTTTTTTTTTTATTTACACAGAATATTAACATTATAATGTTAAAATATTATAACCAGCCATTTATTGTTAATCAGGAATAACATGAAAATAATTATTGCGTTATCTACAATTTTAGTATCCATCATCTTGCTCTAGCTTTGTGAGGAAAAGACTGAACTTTAAGTCATTATTTTTAAGTCACATACTGTCATAGTATCTTCATTTCTAGAATACACTTGTCACTCTTTCATCAAAAGAAAGGTTTTCACAAAAGATGTATAAAAACCATATTTGGCTCCAAACCACAATGACAATCTTTTTTCTGTTGCTTTGTGAACATGGCCAATGATGCACTGTAATATGCAAAAGTAAATCAAACTCAAGATGATAGATTGAAACTAGATGCGCTGGGTTTCGGTAGCGATCTAATTATGATATTGTGACATTTTGAACGTGACATGGATTGTAATGTGAAGTAGTCGATGATACCCTCTATAATAAGTGTGGGAATGGTAAAGCTATGCCGACTTATCTAGTGCTTGCTTAATTCTGGAGCGGGTATTCACACACTGTTTTGTGTTTGTTTGTTTTTTTCTCTCAGGGGAACTTTGCTAAGAGTGAAAATCGGGCCATGATGAAGCACCTGCACCAGCATGAGGTCAAAGGTGTTGCTAAAGTGGACCAGATGCCATTGAGCGCACTCTACAAGGTAAGATTGCATTTATCTATACAGCAGTTTACAAGCCCAGCTGAGGCCCTCACTGACACCTGCAGCACCCTATCAGTGTAGAGCTGTGAAATAACCTGAAAATCTGCTTGCCAGCTGCATCTGATTCCTGTCTTATGTCAGGATAACATCTGAAATCCGAGGGGATTTTTTATAGTTGTTGACCAGCTGCTAGACCAAGAGGATCTGCCGTAGACCAATCAAAATCAAGTATTCAATAGAGCTGTGTTAAAAAAATATGATATATGCTTTCACCATGTAATATAAGACTTTGGTTCTATGTTCCCCATATAGGTGATTCCATCAACAATCACCTTGTGTAGACTGATTCTGTATTAGCTGTATTGTTACTGGTTTTAGATAAGCTATAGTTGTGTGTAGCAGACTCAGTGCACTGCTGTATTTGCACAGGCCAGTGAAAGAGTGGGTGGTTTGCTGAGAGTTAAGCAAGAAGATGGACGGAAGCTAATGGCCTGTAAAATTAGGAAAATATATATTTCTAAAATATATACTTGTGCATTTGTATATTTATGTACACATTAAATATACACAGTACACATACATGCATACGTACAAATATTTTCATTCTATTAATCCACACCTGTGAGGTGGATGGATTATCTCGGCAAAGGAGAAGTGCTCACTAACACAGATTTAGACAGATTTGTGAACAATATTTGAGAGAAATAGGCCTTTTGTGTACATAGAAAAAGTATTAGATCTTTGAGTTTAGCTCATGAAAAATGGGGGCAAAAACAAAAGTGTTGCGTTTATAATTTTGTTCAGTGTAGATGGTTTAATTATTAAAATGATGGATGGATGGATAGATTGTTTTTAATTTTTATTCTTTTGTTTTTAAATGATTCTTTCTTTATCTAATTTGTTGTAAAATGCCATGTAAGATATATCTAAAAGTTTGAAGATCAAACTTTCATTCAAGAACATAATTTCAGAAAGAATTGTGGCAAGGAGGAAGTTACAGGCAGAACTGGATGTCTTCCAGCAGCAGACTTGTTTATTGTTGAGCAGAGCCACATGCACAGAGTAATTAGAGCTGTGCTGAAATCCTTTATTGTTGGCAGTATAGTCCAGTGACCCACAGAGGACATGCAGGAACAAAAGGTTAAACAGACCTTTGTAATTACTAATTAATCTGAGTAGAGTTTCAGACCATAA